GATGGGAACAGACGTCCCATACGTTGTCCAATGTGTCCGACGTCTGTCACAAGTTACCACAGAGTTTTTTTTTATAACCCTAGATCAAGCGGTCTTTTTTTATTCACCAGTGACGGGTATAGTTTTGCCCTTTTTTAGTTTAGTGGTAGCATTATTATCGCCACAGAAAAGTTATTTGTGAATATAGGTACAAATATATATATTATATATATTATCTTTTTTAGGGATAAATGTAGAATATGATACCAATATTATTTTAACCAAGCAATGAGTTTACGCGAAGTACTAAAAGGTTTGCAAATATTTAGATTATGCTAATTATAAATTTGAAAAGCAACCCAAGAGAAACTACAAAATGATTTTTTACACATTTCATATAAATATAAAGGTTGTGTGAAATATGATTCCCTACGTAGAAATATCATTACATTTAACTTCTCATTGATGTAAAATAAAAAAATCTATTCTAAATGCAACCAACTTCTTTTGGTCATATGTAGGAAATTATTGAATGCATCTACAGCATATAAATATGATACAGCATAAAAGAAAATAAATAATCTTTTTAAAAATAAATATATGTATGTCGTTGAGTTCTAACACTTCTGAGTTATTTACATCAATATGTAATATTGTTCAGTATTTCGTCTAAGTATTTGATGTAATATTATTTGTCAGGCAACTCAGCACTGCTTTATTTCAATTGTCTATTGTTTTCCTTTCCACAGAGGTAGAGAGAGGTCCCGTTATGCTATCACATTACTTGCTTAGAGGGGTCTAAGTATTCCCTCATTGGTGAACTAAAATATAGCAATAAATTTATTGGTCGAGACGGTCATGTGACCACTGGACCAGTCTATTCCCGATACCCACTAGCGTCAGTCTTTCGGAAAAGCTCCTTGATGTAACACTCCCGTTCATCAAGTCTCTACGCCATGGGAATGTTGTCAGCAATAAAGGACATAATAATTAACAAATAAATACTGTTTATCTTTGTATTTTATTTAGGGACTGCTTATTTATTTTATTTTACATGAAGTAGTACGGATAGTTGGGCCTCTATAAACTATTTATGTTCATCAAACCAATATATTAGCTTAAACCAAGAATGTTTTAAATTAATTCGAGTTACATTTGAAAAATAAATAGTGTATGAACTGCACAATGCTGATAACCTAATAAGCTGCTTATGCTATGGAGATAATTTGTTCATGCTTATTCCTACATTCGTTGTTTTCTTGTTCATTACATTCTTTGTGTGGAATAAAGATAGTCACTTAATTCATGCATCAGCAGTTGGTCGCATTTCATGGATCTTTGACCCATTCCGTGAGTAACAGCTACGTTTACGTCGTATAGGCTATAATATAAAGTTGGGCATACTTTTGTTCAATGTTAGAGGGTAATAACGGTCCAATCCAATGGTAAACGGAGTCCCGGATCTTAAAATGGTATAGACTACCAGAATGATGATTCATCTAAGTGAGACTTATAAACTCGCCATTGTAAATGCAGAGTTGTTTGATCTTATATTATTCCAAAAGTTTTTTGTTTCTTTTGTTTTGATACTTAATACTTTATTTATAGTCTATGTAGCCCCGTTGATAAGATTTTCTATGAACTCAGATTGTTGATAAGGAGCTAATTTTACATTTCCTCTTGTTCTTCGCCAGAACCAAAAACGAAAGTCACAGATTCTCAAGCAACTTCCCTGTGTACTCGAAAAAATAGTTTGGGTATAGTTCACTGATAGATTGTAGTTCCACATCAGAGTACTTGCCATCTTGAGAAGGTAAAGTTTGTACAACTGAACGTCAAACACTGATCTTGTGTAAGATTCATCACCTACGATAAAAATGTTTCCCACTCATTAGCAATTATCTGTACAACTTGCAAGCAGATTTCCCCATGATTGTTCTGGTGGCTATAGAAGAATAAATTATATTGATCAAAACAATAAGTTTCCGTCCCCTACTATGGGTATTATTTCACATTCCATACTCAAACTTAAACTCAATTACCACTTTCCTTTAGATCAATTCGCAGGAAAACTAAAACATTTCAAAAATACAAAATTTACACCAAAACATACAAATAATGTACAAAAATGCACTTTCCATGATCAAAATTGTGTGTTAATAAACAAAAACTCCTAGATTAATAATTACATACTGAAAGTGAGGTTATAAAAATAATAACAAATGTCTGACAAAAATTAAACAGCTGACGAATAATTTATAAACTGTGTATTATATTCTTCAATAAGAATTGTATTGACTCAACCTTTGAAGGGCTGTAGGTCTTAACCCTTAGAAAGAAAGTTAATTCTAATGAAGTTCGGCAAATCAATTTAAGTATAAATTTAAGTTTTCCAGACCTATACAACACTCTCACTAATTCAGTGAAAACAGAAAAATGATTGGTACCATAGTTTTTTCGGAGTAGGCCGTGCCGCGTAAAATGACATTTTGGCGTCACGGACAAAATTACAGAAAGACAGACAGACAGAAATTGAGATAAGACTAGTTTCGGCTTTCTTAGGCTATGAAACGTTAAAATAACAAAAACTGCACGATTCTACGCAGTGTACAGACAAAACTGTAATTTTATTTATATAGATAGATTATGTTATTTTCCCATACAAACCCCATAAAATAACAAAAAAAAATTGGATTTTAGAAAAAAGCCGATTTTTATTTAACTTAGTATGTTATGGTCCTAAATATTTTGAAGGTTTTTATAATTTTTTTGTAATTTTGATTTTAATGGGGATTTCCCATAAAACCCCAAACCGGAAAAATAGGATTTTCCCAAAAATGGCATGAACGATTCTTAAAAATTTTGTATTTCATATAGTCCTTTAAATTCTGAACCAAATTGTATGAATCACATTACCTTCAAAATTACGGTTAAAAAGTTATTCTAACTTAGGCTATGTTGTTTTACTATAAAAGCCCATAAAATTACAAAAATATCTGATTTTTTAGAGAGCGCTGGTTTTGATTAAAATCAATATGTCATTGTCCTTATAGTAAAAAAAAATAAAAACAAAATAGTACAGTACCCCATTGCTGTAACAATTACGGTTCAAAAGTTATTCCAACTTTTGTGATATTAAACTAAAAAACATCATATTTACCCTCACCGCATGATAAAGGTTGTTGACAAGCTAATGGGAGAAAGTACGTGTCAGAATCCTGATACCGTTTATTTTTGTTTGTTAAGGTGCTGTAGTAAATGTGCTATACGATATATAAAGAACAAAATTTACTTAATCTTTGTCCTCTCCCATTGCTAACGCAAAGCATGAGTATAACTGCAACTAGCATTTTATACTTATACGCCAACTCCGTATATAGGCGGCTACTCGGGTGGTACAAAATATTGTTTATCATTTTGCAAATTTAAAACGTGAACTAATATTTCCGTCATATCGTAATTGGAAAACGGCGATTGCTGAAAACTTTGCTCAAAAACTAGCCAGACCTAGTAGTGGTCATGAAGACGATTATTGGACAAACTAAAAAAAGAATCTAAAAACTATAAAAAGGTAGTCTACCTATCTAATAACTTGTTGAATTATTTACATTGAACACTATTTCCTCTTAGAATATGTAATAATCGTTACAACAACTTCATACCTTAATATTTTATACGAAAGTCAGACTCCACTGTTTGTGATAACACATTTTTTGGCAAATAAAAGGTATACAATGCTAAGCTCTCCACTGCAAAGGAAAATCCAAATATAAATTATCGCCTTGTAAAAACTTTAACATTATTGAACTAGCCACATTAAGTTGCAAAGAGAAAACGAGGCTGCTGTCGAGTAAAAAAGTGTTAATACTCGAGTTTGAGCTTTTAATGTAACTTGACCAGTATACTTACAATATGATGTATAAGTTAAATCCTATTTATAAAAATTTATTTCTGCGTTTATGTATGTTAGTTTATACATTTTTATGTAGTCTCAACTCATCCTTTCAGTGGGTAGAATGAATTAAGGTTCAAGGTTTTCGGCACTTTTCTAACAACGGGCTATTTTTACATTTTATATAAAAAAAAAATACTGATGTACATTTTGACAGCTATTAGAATTAGAAAATATACTTATAAAATATATTTATACATTTTAAAATTTTTCATCGGTAAAAAAATCTCTTCTGATATTTGTAATGGCTTTTAATTGAGAGACGGAATAGTTAAGAAACTCAGCTGAAAGCTTGCAATAAAGTTATTAAAAATATAAAAATGTAAATTTGATTTGCACATTATGATTAACACATAGTTAAGTCACACAGCTAAGTGTTCTTCAATCATTAAAATGCACGTATAATCAGTAGTTGAGCGGACGGTGCCTGCTATCTGACCGTGCCAACCACTGTAGAGACTTCTGGCCCAGACTGTACCTTTGGACCTTGTGAAACACTCTGTTTATTTGATATTTTAACGTTGGACTTTGTGAAATTTTGACATTGTGAAACAGTGATTATTTGAATGTTATACTTTTGGACTTTATGCAATTTGGACCTTCTGAAACGCTCTGTTTATTTGATATTTTAACATTGGACTTTGTGAAATTTGGACATTGTGAAACGGTGATTATTTGAATTATATAGTTTTGGACTTAATGAAATTTGGACCTTGTGAAACGCTCTGTTTATTTAATATTTTAACCGTTGGACTTTGTGAAATTTGGACTTTATGAAACGCTCCCATTTATAGTCTAACTGATAGCAACTGTAAACCAAATAACATTTACAAAAGTGCTCTAAAAAAATTGTTGTGGCACCACTGACGCGCCCCTTAGAATTTAGCGCTCAAGGCCAGTGCCTAGTTGGCCTAGTGGTAAATCCGGCACTGAATGTCCCTGACTTTAAAAAATGTTTAGGACATTTTTCTTGACATTAATTGTCCAATTGAACTAAAAGTTTACAACGCTTGAATATTTCTAACTTGGTTTTGACCGAAGCAGTAGTAAAACAAAAATTGCTACTCACAATGAAATGCCCTGGATGCGCAGGTAGCCTCACTATGAGGTCCAGAGGCTCAAAAGGGATAATATCTGGATGTCTCGGCTCTGAAAACACACCAGAAAAAAGTCAATGGGAATTTAAATCAAATCATTTATTGACACAACACATATCTTTATTTCACAGAAGTAGCTAGTGCCTTGCCAATTTAACATGTCTTAATCTACTTAACGTAACGTACATCAATTTTACCTTTATTTCCTCTAGCAATATCCTTTAATGTGTGTTTCTGGGTTTAAATAATGTCAAGACCTTCAAAAAGAAATTGAAAGTGCATTAAATAAAAAAAATTGTACTACTCTTTCTTGTAAATAATCAGAATCGGAAATGCTATATTCGTGATTTTTAACATAAATAAATACAGATTGATGTCAATAACTTAATATATAGAAATAGTTATGTAAAATGTTATATTAAGTTATTGACATCAATCTGTATTTATTTATGTTAAAAATCACGAATATAGCATTTCCGATTCTGATTATTTACAATCCTGTTCCGAATATCAAGAATACATTTTAACTACAAATTTACTAAAATATTGACTTGTCCATCCCCACTAAATATTAAATAAAAAAGTCAAACTTTTTAGAAATACCATAAAAATATTTTTTCAAAGTTAATTTACAGTTGTGACAGTTTGGTAGGTGATTTTGATTCCTTATGCGTTAGATTTAAATCTTATCTTACTAATATTATAAATCTGAAAGTTTGTGAGTTTGTGTGTATGTTTGTGTGTGTGTTTGTGTCTCAATCACGCATAAACTACTGGACGGATTGGACTGAAATTTGGCATGCTGATAGCTCACATTCCTGATTAACATTAAAGCATATTCTTATCTCAAAAACCCTTTCGGGCTCCGCCCCAGTGGCTCTGTAGTTCTCCATGTTAATCTTATGATTTTTCATATTTAAAAGGAATTAATGAATCTTAACAGCTTTCTCAATTAAACAAGTTGGTTCTGTTCTATGATGTTCAACAGCATAAAAGTTACAAGGATTACCAACAAGGTGCAGCACTATTAATTTTTTTTTTAATTTATGACAACAGCTAATTTCCAACCAAAAGGTGAGTGAGCTTAGCGAACGAACTTCAACCTTGAGGCGAGTTAGCGTAGCGAACGAGCTAATCTGAAGGCAAGTGAGCGCAGCGAACGAGCTCCAACCTAAAGGTGAGTGAGCGTAGCGAACGAACTTCAACCAGGACGTGAATGAGCCATGCGAATACTTATGAAGTTAAACGGGGCGAAGCCCGCGGGTACAGCTAGTAAAATCTAAGGCTGCAAAAATGTGTATCATTTCAAGCAAAGAGTGTGTAATAATCTCTTCATATCTGTACAAAAGCAAAACATTTAATGCTTAATCTTTTCTAGATCTTTACAAAATAAAAAAGTATATTAACTTACCTAGGTCATTCGGTACAGCTAAAAGCTTGTTGAAGTTCATATCACTCCTGAAAATAGAGGGTAATTTAATCAACGAATAATACCAAACTGATAACTAAATGCCAAGAAATAAGTTGAAAGAGTAGTTTGAACAAGACAAGTAATATGATGAAAGGTAAATTTATATAACAGGCACAGTCTTGAAGTGTGTGTGATGTATCAGATGTTGGGTTGTTTGTAAGTTTTCTGGATTTGTGAAATTTAATTTACATACTCAGAAAACAAGTTAACTGGTTTGCATGTTGACATCACATTGTTTGGTACCTGGGCACACAAAACCATTCAGAATTTGATTTTTTAACCAGTGTGTTTTGTTAATCTTTGCTGGCTAGTACAGAGTTTGGAGTTCTCCTAAAATTAAAGGAACACAGGACAAACTCACACTGAAACTTTTGTTCTAGTTATTTTCACTTGTTAGCGAATTTCCCTATAGGGAAGTAGCTATTACCGTAGGTGGCACGGTAAGACCTAGACCCGGGACCGATTTACTTTTTCATTTTGATGTTCCCAGAGGCCAAAAACACCATTCGTTAAAATTTTTATATATGTATATATATATAGACTTATATTGACAACAGACCTAGTTGTCCTGTTTCAATCTTATATATAGACTTATATATATATATATATATATATACGTCCGTGAACGCGATAACTTGAGTAATTTTTGTCAAATTTTGATGAAATTTGGTTTAAAGGTGTAAAGCGGGATAAACTTGAATGAGTTCGCGAACCAGCATGATCGGACCGTGGGAACGGGGCTTTACGGGGGATTTTATGGGGTAAAAATTGTTTTTTCTGACTTTTGACCATCAAAACACAAAATTTCCCAACTTCTCTTTAGACCTTTTTAAAGAGCTTAAAAAAAACAATTAATTTAGTATATAAAAGTATTTTTGTTCGGTTAATAGTAACGGAGAAAATTTAAAAAATTGTAAATTTAAAATTCCCATCTTATTCTTATGGAGAATATTGTCAAATGTTGTAGTTTGCTTGTTTACAGATATATTTTGTATTTTGATCAAATTTATTTATTTTGTACTAAGCTATCAATATTTTATAGCTCCATATACAGTTACTTAATTGTATAGATTACTGTTTAACACTGTATATTACTGTATAAACTGGCTTATACTACTATCACTTACCCTTGTTGTCCTTTTGTCTTTAATAATATATTTATTTCAACTAGGGATGGACGGGTCCCGAAATTTCGGGAATTTTTCGGGAAAAAAATATTCCCGATTATTGGGACGGGATTACATTTGATTCGGGAATTTTTCGGGACGGGATTTGGTCCAATCGTCGGCGATTTTGCCGCTTCGCAAGTGCCGATGACGCCGCCATTGCGAGCGATAGGTCCGCGAACGCAGGAGATGAAGTCATTTCGACGATTGCGCCGTGACCGCGGAGTCATAACGACGATCGCGTCGTGACCACGATTCATGGACCGACGATCGCACCGTGACCACGAGTCATAACAACAATCCCGCCGTGACCACGAGTCATACTGACAATCACGCCGTGACCGCGAGTCATACCGACGATCGCGCCGTGACCGCGGAGTCCTACCGACGATCGCGCTGTTATCGCGGAGTCCTACCAACGATCACCCTGTGAACGCGGGGTCATACCGACGATCACGACGTGACTGCGGAGTCCTACCGACGATCGCGCCGTGACCGCGGAGTCATGCCGACGATCGTGCCGTGATCGTGAGTCATACCGACGATCATGCCGTGACAGCGAGTCATACCGACGACGATCACCCCGTGACCGCGGTCATTTTGACAATCGCACCGTGACCGCCAGTCATTTCAACCGCGAGTCACAAGTTTCTATAGGTACCTGTAAATTGTTACCCATTTTTTTTGATTTTTTTATAGATCAGTGCCACAAACGGTAAAAATTGATTTCGTACGTCTTTTTGGTAACTGCAATACTCAAGACTTTCTTTTTATACACAGAAAAAAATCCCGTCCCGTTCCGTCCCGAAAATCGGGAAGGAAATAAAAATCCCGTCCCGTCCCGAACTAAAAATTCAATCCCGTCCATTTTCAACACTATATGTCCATATTTAACCAAAATAAAAGGAAAAAATACAACATCTACTCCTTTATTCACTACTCTTAGGTAGCAAACCTTGCAGTTCTTTCTTGTTCTTCTCAGATTTTTTCCTTTAACTACAAAAGTCACTGACTCAGAGAGGTATTGGTGACCAGTTACAGTTACGGATTCCATAGCATTATCTTGAAGGCCAAGTAGGGAATAGACAATCTTTTCCCGAAATGCCGTGATGGAATACTACAGGTACTACAGGTGTTGCCTGTTATTACCATTAGCATAAACGTATGCCAACCAAGAATTGACCCCCTCAGTTCTGTTATATCTTATTACATCTGTTAGTCTGGACTTAACCCTCCAACTGCCAGTCATATTATTGGGTAATGCCGGCTCATTTTTAGTAATTTTTAAGATTTTGTTTAAATAACAGTAAAAATTGTAAAAATTATATAAAGTATAGCTTACATCATACAGTACAACATCGATTATCCAAATTAATTGGGACCGGGGTCGATTCAGATAATCAAAAATTTGGATAGTCAGACACAGAATGGTAATAAAGAAAAACAAAGTGTTACACAATGAATGAACTTTATTGAGTAAATAAATAAGACATAATAGAGCTGTTAAATTGAATTGAAGTACAGTAGAGGAACAAATACTGATATTTATAAAAACAAAACTACAGTACAATATTAAGTTCTTTAACAACGCTTACTTGTACATCTCGATCAGCGTTAAGTTGCCGTGACCTTGTAACTCATTTCCGCACAGTTAGATCATGCAGGCGCCGGACAGCAATGGTTGCCGCTCCATCCATTTGAGGGTGTTGTCAAAGCACATAAACGCCTCACTATGTGATGGTACACTTTCGTCTCCTGCCTCTTCGTCTTCCTGGGTCTCATTGTTTTCATCTTTATTTTCCTGTTCATCCATGACACTCACTGCGATTACATCATCAGTCATTATCTGGTATCTTTGATCGTTCTTATCACATTCCAACAACTCTTCCATATCATCGACATCACACTCCGAACAACCCGTAATTTCCTTAGCCATGTTTACTAACTCCATGTTTCTGTTAGTTTCATCGACCATAACCTGGAGGATGTCATTAGGCTAAATAAAAATCAAGTTACATTTTGATTTTCCAGCAAAGATATTTTATTTGGTTACCTTCTGGCAATTTCCATTCCTTCTCTACCTTCTTCATTTGCGCTTTGTCGGCTTTCTTCTTCAGTTTCTTATATCCTTCACTCAATGTCACATCATTTGCACCGTTAACATTTTAATTTTCTTTCAGATCATCATTTACACTTTCAAACTGATTAACTTTGTCATTTAAATCAGGGTCTTATTTTTGTCCTCACTAAATGATACTGACGTTTCACTCGGTGAAAAGGCCGGGTCATCATCTTAAATAAATTTGTCTTCCTCATCATCCGTGTTGTCTCATTCCATCACATATCGCCGGTAGCCCAACCACCGTCGCTAAATAAATCTGTCTCACTTGACATATATTAAAAAATCTGTCTATCTCACTCTCATCTAGTGTTCTCTACTCATTACAGTAGACTCCCTCTAGTTCAGCCACCTCGGGACCGGACTAACTGAATGTAGTAGAACCTCAATTATCTAGGGTAATAGGGGGGGAGGGAGACGACGGATAAGTGAAAATCAAGGTTAATCCAACATGACATAAACATTATATATTACATACCCATAAAAACGCCTAATACGGAATAAAATGGATGTTAATGTGATAATTAATTTGTATTTTACATCATCAAACACAAATAGTACTGTATTGTGCAATTGTGATATGTTAAGTCATTAACCTTGGTTTAGTAATAAAAACTGTAACGTTTAAAATCACCCTTACTCAAGCAAAACAAAAATTTCACAACACTGTACAGCAATAAATCACGTAAAGAATAGAACGGTAAAAGTCTAGTAAGCTACCGTAGTCAGCATAGGCTACTAATACTAATAACTGTTTACTAATAACTACTATGTTTACTACTAATAACTACTAACTGTTTCAGAACAGAAGAATGTCAATAAAAAGATTCGATTTAGATATCTCATAAAAGAGCATAAAATCATAGTACTTATTGTTTAAGATAATAACAATAGTCGTAAAATAAGATAAAAATAACAATGGATGACGTAAAACACCGCTTTATATTTGTTCTTCTTATTCTTTCTTTGGTTTCTCTTCATCCACACATTCAACAAGTTGCCATGGTTACTTATCACCCAACCACAAACTGTTGTGATATAGCAAGCCCACAGCAGACAGTTGTGAAGGAGCAGACGATTTTCAGTACAAGCGGATAGCTTGAACTTGAAGCTAATGGTGGCTATGTCTTTGTTTTGCTTCCATCTATTTTTGTTAAATAATTCAAAAACAATAATGGGGGAACCTACTGCATATAAAAAATAGTCAGTAATAGTTAATTATACATTGTATTTCAACATATTATACTAAGAAAAAAAATGTAAAATGTTCTTGGAATTTTTATATTTTTGGGGTTATGTAACATGGTTTATCAAGTTCGTCAGAGGTAATATGTAACAATTCTCCCATAGAAGCACCCGTCAACTAAACTGACACTTCCCTGGCCGGAAACTATGGCCCAGTTCACACGAGCGACTTATCTAGCTGACTAGGCTGTGACTAGGTAAGCCCGACTGGGTAGCGGACCACAGGATACACCGGTTCTTACCAGTGAAATGTCCACGGACTAAGTGAAAATATCAATATCAAAACGACTTGGATCCACCACTGGTGCACAATGAGAACAAGGGGAAGAATGCGAGCTGCAGCACAACTACCCGATCGCTTGTGTGAACGCTCCCATAAGGCTACATGTACTGCTATGCCGCTAGAGCGGGTGACTGGGTGCCATGACTGACTGGGAAGAGGGGCCCGACTATGTTTTGGGACACCAAGCTCGAACGGGGCTAGATAGTAGTCGCCCTACGCTCGTGTGAATGGCTCCATTTGATCATGTGGTCCGCTACCCAGTCGGGCTTACCTAGTCATAGCCTAGTCGGCTAGATAAGTCGCTTGTGTGAACCGGGCCTAAAGATTCAAGTTGAATCGTGTCGAAGGTCATTCGCCCGTGACAATGTGACTTGTCCCCCTGAGACCGGGCCGGACCATTCGGCGGCTGATCCAACTAAGCCGAACTAGAGAGAGCCTACTGTATTACTTCATGTAAAATTGAAACTCTAACTCACAAACTAAATCGCACACACACTAAAAACACAAAGACACATTGAGCGCAAACATTACAGCTGTAGCCACTTTGAGTGCGAAAGTAATATAGTTGAAATACGCCCTCATTTATATGATGGTCCGATCGGGTCGGCACCATTTATTTGAAATAAAATATTGCGTTATAAAATGTTTACTGCCGACCCAATCAGTCCAAACAAATACCCCCACCCCTATTTTTTTTTCAAAATCATTACAACTAAGAATAAGAATAAGAATAAGAATGCTTTATTGCCGTTACACTGGTTTACATGCATGGCACAGTCAAGGAAATGTCTTAGAACTAAAGGTTTTAACTAAGATTTAATTTAACATCGTTTATAAAGTCTATTTCTCTATATGGACACAGGTTTAACAGGTAGTTTTTAAGTACTATTTTAAATTTAAAACAATTAAAACATCTTATTCTATTAGGTAACATATTATAATACTGTTTGGATTTTTCAATAAAACTAGTAGCTGTGGTGCTGTATCGACACTGTCTAGATATAAAATTGCAGCGGTTTCGTGTGTTGTAACTGTGTACATTTTCATGTGTGTCTGTTTTACTAAAACTATTTTTTGCAAACACAAGGCAGTCTAAAATATACATTGCTTGTAAAGTTAAAATATTAGCCTCCCTAAATAATGGTTTACAGTGTGTTCTAAAATCAACATTGTACATGATTTTTATTGCTCGTTTTTGCAATGACAAAAGTTTTTTTTTATAATTACTACCTCCCCATACAATTGTTTCATAACTTAGATGGGAATGTATATGTGCATAGTAAATGCATTTCAAGGTATTAAAATCTACACTGTTCTTAAGCATGTTTATTATAAATATTCCTTTGTTAAGTTTTTTAGCTGTATAATCAATATGAATTTTCCACTTTAAGTTAGATTCTATAAAAACACCTAAAAATTTTACACAATTTTTATTATGCCTATTATTAAAACTAATACATAAATCTTGAGTTTTTTCTACATTTAAAAACAATTTATTGGCCTTACACCAGTCTTCGATTAAGCTATCTGCTTTGTATGCCATTACTGTTGAATTTAGCAAATTCTCACTTTGAATTTGTATTGCTAAATCATCTGCAAAAAGATAAGGCTTAACATTGAGGTTTAGAATATTTTTAGGCAAATCATTAATGTAAATGATGAAGCATACTGGGCCCAAAATTGAGCCCTGTGGGACACCATGTAACACCTCTTTATAATCAGAAAAAACACCATTGCAATAAACACTTTGATATCTTTTATACAGATATGATTCAAACAATTTTAAAGTATTTTCTTCAAACTTATAAAAGGCAAGTTTTTGTAGTAGTAGATCATGGGACACAGTGTCAAAAGCTTTTTTCATATCATAAAATTTCAACGATACATTATTTTGCATTTCTAACTCATCTAAACAATAAGAAATTAGATTCTGAACTGCATCTTTAGTTCCTCTATTTGCTCTAAAACCAAATTGACTAAAATTAAACAGATCATTTCCTTCAAAATACATTACAACTTGGTCATTTATCAAACTTTCAAAAACTTTACTAATAACAGGAATAATACTGATGGGTCTATAGTTATTTAAATCTAATCTATCACCGGTTTTATGTACAGGAATTACTTTAACACATTTTAAACAATCAGGATATATACCCTCAACAATACAAAGATTAAATAAATAAGTTAGTACTTCAACTATATACACTGCAGCCATTTTCATAATATCTGAGTTTAATCCATAAACATCTAGACATCTACTACTACTTAGCCTATTAATTTTCTCAAATACCTGTTCAACAGAAAATGGTTTTAATTTAAAACTAATATCTGTCATTGTGTCCATACCCCTCAACACATTAATATAGACCTCAGAAGATTTGTTCGATGTAGATAAATTATTAATCAAATTGTTTACAGAGTCTAAGAAATGGTTATTTAAAGATTGAGGGTCGAGAGAATTTTTACTTTTGCTTTTTCTATTGACACTAACTTTTTTATTTATTATACTCCACATTTCTTTCGACTTATTCTTTGCTGTAGATATTTTGTTTGAGTTGTAATTTACTTTTGCTTCTTTAATAAGTTTTCTGTATGTTCTTTTAGTTATCTTATATTCCTCTTTGCATGTTTTATTACCTGTCATTTTAAATTCATCCAAAAACTCAATACATTTTTGTTTCAAACACTGCAATTCATTTGTATACCAACGGTTGTCATATTTATCCTCACTACTCTTATCTGCTACCAATTTGATTGGCATTGTAAAATCTAAAACACTTAAAAAAATATTCAAAAACAGGTCAAATTTCTCATTTAATGTTTCTAATGAATAAACACTAAGCCAATTTACTTTACTTAAATTTGAACATAATAAAACACCACTCATTTTATTAATGGGCCGTGAGATCTTAAAACTATTTTGCCCATTCATACACCTGGAATGTAATCTAGTAGATAACATAATTGCATAGTGATCTGATACAAGGGTGGGAACAACACAACCAGTCCTGTTATCTCTGTGAATGTTGGTTGCAATGTTATCAATACAAGTTCCAAGTTTGACAATTTTACCTTTTCTCATATTAGGCCTAGTGATTTCTAATGTAACCAAATGTAGATTAAAAGCATTAAATGTATTAGTTACTTCTTTTCGTTGATTACAGTCAATATCAAGGAAATCCACATTAAAATCACCACATAGGATAATATCAACATTAAGCTTATTTACTAACATTAAACACTCAAAAAAAATACTAATCCATAGAGCTGCCGAACCAGACGATCAGAAGTGTTGTAACTGATTGACACAAAGGACGATAGGAAAATAAAAGAACAAGATACAGATCTGTACACTATATCAGATATATCTTTGCTTTATAATTTATTTGGTAAAATACTGAAATATATTTTTAATTAGGTATGGAATAAACAACAAATAACTAAACTAGTACCTCTGGATAAATAGTCTTATTTTAGACTTTGTTTTCTTTGCACTGTTGCGTCATGGCTTTTGTCAGCAGATGACTGACTCTGGCAAATCAAATCAAATCAAAAATGCCTTTATTTAGCAAGCGTTCCTCAGTATAAACTGCTTTACAGGATAACTCTTGTCAATTAACTAATACTATATAAAACTAACAGAAAATATAATCTAATCAGAAAGTATACAAGCAAAAAATTCTATTTACATTTCTATTTCAATCTATTTACAAAATTTGAGGTACTTCATTCACAGCTGTATACATTTCTTTTATTTTATTTCTGAACGCTGGAACACCCAGCAACTTAAGATCACAGGGGAGGTCGTTATACAACTTGGGCCCAAAGTAAGAAAAACCTCTCCTGCCAATCTCCAGCCTCACTCTCGGGAAGTGAAACTGCTTGTTCTGTCGAGTATTGCACCGAGACACCCGATCGCGGGAGACCAGTCTTTCCATCAGGTATGCTGGTTCTTTTTTGGCCAGCACCCGATGAACCAGAGTGCAGGTTTGGATCCTGCATACGGCTGCTGAGGGCAAAAGACCGGCAGTTTTTTCAAATTCAGATATATGATCGCGTTTCCGCAGACCATATATAAATCTTACTGCGGTGTTCTGAAGGCAAGTGCGGCAATTGCTCTGTTGTGTCTTTATTCTTAAATGTAATGAGCAAACTTAATATTTAATTCTCATTTGAACATTTTAATTCCTTTGTAATAGTAGATACAATTACATATTTATGTTTGTGTTTTGTGTTTATTTAAAAATAAATTATTATTTGTTTTTTTGCCTGACCCAATCTTGGCTCAAACAAATCTGTGACCCGACCCGACCCGAACAATTGGAGGAACCGCAGACCCCAACTTAAAGTGACTCTTGAATTGGATTTGCTTTTGATAGATGGTATGAATAATGATAGCCGAATGGCAAATAAGTGATGTACTTAATTTAAAAAAATTCAGCATACCTGTACTGCTGGCGTTGAATGTCAATGATTTCGCTGACAGACTTGTAGGCCTGGTCGTCTTCCTTGGTGAAGATCTCTACCACTGGAGGATTTGCAGAGAGGTCTGTAGGCTTGATGAGGAAAGCCTTCACCTGGTCCAGCAGCAGGGAGTGCAGAGTGGCCACCTCAGGGTTGGTCAAACTATTCGGGGGCAACTTGTTCAGCTGAACCATCACGGACTAAACATGACAGAGAGGGGAAAAATATTAAGCAATTATTACTTTTAAAGCAACTGGCTACTGAACTACTTTTTACGAATTTGTCAAAAAGGGAATATTAGCGAATTTTAAAAATATGTGGAATAAGCTATTGACAAAGGTCGTAGTAAGACCTAGCCCAATACCACTTTTATTTCTCGTTTTGATGACCCCAGAGGTCATAAACATAATTTAATTTGTAAAAATGTATACACTATATATTAGTGATGTTGGTTCCAATTTTTAAAGGTTTGGTTCCGGTCGGTTCTTGGCCAAAAACGGTTCTCAGTTCCGGTAAAAAAAAAAAAATATAAAATGGGAAACATTTCAGCCCAATCAAATATCATTGTAACACTTGAGTTTATTTTTAAGTTACAAATGCTTTTCTTGGAAGCAGTACTCCTACCTCAATTGATATTGAGTTTTACTTTTGCCAAGCCTCAATTATTTGTGATGCAAAAGCGATATCTCACCACTACCTGGTTTAGTCGTTTTTGGCTGTATTGCTTTACAGTTCTATTCATCTGGAAAGTCCGCTCGTGCTCGCCATAATAGTTTACAGCCATTGTATGTGTGAAGGCAATTTTACAAAAACTGTTCAATAGTTACGCCTCTGGCCACTTGGATAGCTAGAAGTGTTTTTTTTTTTAGTGTTTAAGTAGTTTGATTGTAGTACTGTTTTACAGTAGAAAATTGACAACTGTATTGTTACGCAAGCAATAGATTTAATTTAAAAAAGTCAGAATGGAAACGCGAGAAAGGCAAAACAACAGAAAGGTGGGAAGGGTTGGGCAATGACCTCCGGCCACAGTGTCGAGTAGGGTGGGGGTGAAGTGGTGGGTGCGGCTTAGAAGCTATATTTTGACTAGCACCACTTCCAGGGCTGGTGAGGGGGGATTTCAATTGCAAGACAATGATGCAAAGTAGTTTTTCGGGAATTCTTTGCCCGATTTGACTTTTGATTGTCTTTTTCAGCGTTGAAACTTTGAATCATGAAAATTATAATTTTAATTAACCACAATTATTTAGCGTTGATTTTATATGAAGTGACATCCGAGATCACCTTTAATGATCATGTCAACACTTTTGGTTATTCCTTACGATAGCAGCAATAACTGTAATCATTTGCCACGATTACGTCAACACCCGTGATTAATTCTCAACTTCTGTGACTATTTTTTGCAATAGCGGTAATATTCTAGAAGATTTCCAGTTACCACTAAAATGCCAGAAACGACAGAAACATAACGATCTCACACAATTGGAGCAAAGTCTGTGAAAGTTTATCGCAATCATGGCAACAAACAAGATTATTTCTAGCGACTGTGACATCCACGATCATCTCCGGCGATTACCTCACTAATTTTGCAATCACAGCTAAATTTTTAATGATCAAGGTAACGGACGTGATTATTCCTTACGATCAATTTTCAAGTAGGCAAAATAAGAAATTGGTGCTATCGGGGCATTTTTTTGCTACTTTTCAAACACAAATTTTCCAATTTTTTACATAATTCATGTACAGTTCAAGGATTTTTTCAGTCAAAATTTATGTACTATAATATCAGGTTCTAAGTTGGCTCCATGACGTCACACTAGTGGATAGATTTTTTGATAGATTCCCTGCAATATCCCATATGTTTTAGGTAAATAAACTGGCTGTTAGTCAGATTTTAACGGTAAGATTTTAGTACAGTTATCCACCACTGAGATGTAGTGTTGTGCAGCAGCATGGCCTGTTTTTCTAGTGGGGCCTCGGCTGAATACCCTTTTAAAGTATGATATTACCTTAAGTGTGCCATTCAATTGCATTTTCTCGATAAAACCATTGACTATATATACCTACAGAAGACATCCCATCCTTATGGGCCGATTGTAGTGTGAGCTAGATCTCAGGAGCAAGTAGTTGATGTGAGCTGCCGGCAGGCACGCGATACTGGAATTTGTTACTATCTGCGGTCTCTCGCGCACATCCCCACCCTCGCCCTGCGACCTACTCTGCATCGCTCTCACTCACACATTCCTTCTCTCTTTGTCTTGCTTCCCTACCGACTACGTGACCCACACTGCTACGCTATGAACAACTGCTTCGGCAAGGGCAATGAATACAAGCTGGGGCGCTGGAGCTCGTCATACCATACACAATGGAGGCCTAGTTGACGAGGATAACTGATCAACAAAAATATTAATGAATGTGTGTTGCGCAATTATGTGGTATGGGAACATATTTTATGATGTGAACGAGTCCTCAAATTAATATAGGCGCAATTATTATATTGTGAAAACATATTGAGTAATCATGATATTTTAAGTATTTGATTGGTTTTTTTTTTGCCCGGTGGATGACATAATGTCCCTCTCCGGACCTTCCTTAACCTTGGTCTGTGTTGTCGCTATTGTCTCCGTCAGCTGATAGCTTCATAGCCTTATTGTGTATTATATTCGACTCAAATATAATATATGTATATTTACACTATCAGAATTACACAACACCTGTGACCAGTAGGGCTAGGGCAGGCCGCACGGCGGTGAGAGACAACATGGTGTAGTGCAAGTGAGTGTCACTACAGCTGATTGAGAGTTAGTTTTGTTAATGCTCAGCTTATTGACCTTTCTGGATATATTGTTGTTGCAGTGACAGCGGCGCATTGTATCCTCTCTCCAATCTCCCGCCATAGCTATCTTCACCTGAGCTGAGCAGTGAGCCCAACTACTCTGCCCCTCTACTTGTCTGCTTGCCATGCGCATGCGTCGAGACTGTTTCTAATCTTTACTGATAGATCGCACCACACGCTAGCGCTGTTCAGGCGCTGCTAGCCAACAAAATACTGGCGACAGGTCCACTATGACGATAGAACGTCTAGTATGTATAGTCAATGATAAAACGTAGCTGTAACTAAATTTACTAATTCCAAATACCTGTGGAGGTAGCTCCTTCAATATCTCAGGAAGAGTATTAATGTCAGCCAAGCTGTTGATCCCGACTGTTTCTTCGTTCCCAAAGTCCACAAATCGGATGGGGATCTGAAAAAATATAAGAATATTCAATGATTTTAAAACATAACAAGATTATCACACAATCTGGATTAAATCACTGAGTAAGCACGCTGATTAAATTGAGAACCTACTCTAAACATTTGTGTGTTAACAGTTTAATATTTTTGCTGATGCCTGGTTTGTGTACCAATGTTTTTAGACTTTTTCTCACCTGCATGCAGAGTTAGATTCCAAATCTCCAAAATTTTATCAGAGTGGTAAAATCCACCAATAATCCTAACTTACTCACCTTCACCAAAATAGTTATTTGTGTAACTAGTGAGCAAAGTGGCACTTTGCTGCACACGAGAGCAATGTTTACGCAGTGCATCAAAGGCCTTTTGCACTCGTGTTACACATTATAAAGGGTGATTTTTTTATTGGTGCGGTTTTTAAAACTAAATAAAAAAATGAAAAACAACCTGCATTGACATAAAAATTAATTTATTTGAACTACAGTGTCATGACATTAACGTTTAAAAATGATTTCTGGCATATGGGCTCCATTCCGTTCGCGTAGAAAGCCCAATCGAGAAGTCCAATTTTCTAATACCCTTTCCAGCCGCTGTGGTTGAATTCCGCTAATAACTCAACGAATGTTAGCTTCCAAGCCATTTAAAACTTCAACGCTATCGGGCAATGTTGCGGGACGTTTTTGACCCTCAGCTAAACGAACGTGAAGTGGATTTAGAAAATGTCTGGTTCCAACAAGACGGTGCAACGTGCCACCCGGCAAACGACACAATTGGCCTCTTGGCAGAAACATTTGGTGAACGTATCATCTCATTTAGAGGTAGTGTCAACTGGCCCCCACGGTCGTGCGATATCGCGCCAACAGACTTCTTTCTGTGGGGATATGTTAAGTCTCAAGTAACATTCGTTGAGTTATTGGCGGAATTCAACCACAGCTGCTGGAAAGAGTATTCAAAAGTTGGACTTCTCGATTGGGCTTTCTACATGAACGGAATGGAGCCCATATGCCAGAAATCATTTTTAAACGTTAATGTCATGACACTGCAGTTCAAATAAATGCATTTTTATGTCAATCAATGCAGGTTGTTTTTCATTTTTTTATTTAGTTTTAAAAACCGCACCAATAAAAAAATCACCCTTTATTTTTCCTACAGTCACTAAAAAGCATATAAATAATTAGTCTATCAAACACTATACAACACGCTTTTAGGTTAGGTTAAACCCAAGCCATGAACGGAATGAGAAATACTGCACCAGCTGATTGTAGTCGTAGTATTTTTAAGTGTTACTTATTTTCAAGAGATTGGTATAAACAGTAATAATCAGTATAAACACATAATAAACAAGTAGATGTTCAAAAATATGCCAATAAAACATTTTCTGACAGTTTTGTAACTTTCCTACTTACGCGCCAAGAGGAAAACAGTTTGTATGCCGTTCATACTTCTTTCTTGATTCTTTTTCTTTTAGTAAAAAATCCTTTTTATTCATTACAAGAATTCGTAGATAAAAAAAATATTTCATTTGAATTTCCATTTATTTTTCGTAATGGACATTTGCGTAGATTTATATTTTAATGTGTATGATTTGTATATAGATTTTGACTCTATTCAGATACATGTATGTTTTATATGTGTTATATATTGAATAAAGACTATTTGAATCTTGAATCTACAGGTAACAGGTTTAATGAAACATGTTTTCAGCTCCTGCTATTACTGGTCTACCATTATAATTCACAATCACTTTCACCGAGTTCATTATTTTTAAACATGTTAGGCCCACTTATAATTCATCTTTCAAATACAACACTTCAGGTTATGTTTAAGCCAAGAAAATATAATATAAACTATAAACACGAAATGACAGGTTAAATCGTAGTTATAATAGTCAATCAGCTGATCATAGTATTATTATCTTTAGTGTTGCCAACCTATTTCCAAGCGTACACGCATTACGTGCATAATAAAACCATGCTGTTTTGTGTTGTTTGGTTAGAATCCTGATGTGCGCCAAAGTATAAACCATACGACAAAGTACAAACCGTGCGACAAAGTAAGTAAGTGCAGCAATTAGCAGCTTTCTGTACTATAAACAGTGCAAGGAAGCCAACTTTGTCGGGTGACTGTAGGAAAAGGTACTTTTGTTATCCATGAGGAACAAGGTCTTTCATAATATATTTTGGGGAATTTCTCAAATACATAATAAGCTATTACCATAGGTCTCATAATAAGACCTGGACCCAAGACCAATTTACTTTTTCGTTTTGAGGTCCCCAGATGCCAAAAACAACCTCTGTTCAGATTCATATTTCACACTTGTCCGTTAGCACAAAAACTCAAGCAAAATAATCCGATTTTCCTACAAAATTTTGGTAAAAACGTGTAGGTTAACCTACGTTTATTCAAAATAGTTCCCAAACCAGCCCGTAAAATCATGTCTGATCGACATGATTTTACGGGTAAAAAATTGGTTGATCCTATTTATGACCCCAGAAATGGCCAGAAATATAAAATTTTTAAAATTTAATTCTAAACCATTTTATAGAACCTTAAATAGAGACAATTTAAAAACATTGAAGTTTTGCTGTGTACCTAACCGTTACAAAGAAAATTCAAAAAAGTGAAAATTAAAATTTCCCATGTTATTCTTATGGAAATTAAATAAACCATATACAAGACTTTCTGTGTCCATATACAAGACTGTGTCCATACAGGGTTAATAAAAAGTCAAGATCCAACCATCTAATATTTTTCTGGGTAAATACAGAGAACTCTGGTTTTCACCATTCTTTAATCTAGCCAAAGAATTTATAAACTTCGACATATTCTGAGATATTGCCTAAAGCTATATTATTCTTATATCTTATTACATCAACCTTTAAACATTACAAATTTTATTTTATACAGTATGATTTAAATTGGATTTCTGTAAATAACAAGTTTATTTTTAAAACCCGTCCTTAACTCCATATCTGGATCCGGATCCGGTCCCGAAATTTTCTTGGATCCAACATTAGGCATCACTAGAATCTATTGAGCAAAGATTACACTAAAGATTTGATTGAATGTTCTAACTAAATGTGTTTAAAAACTATGGAATATGGTTGAAATTTTAGGAAAAGATAATTTTGGAGCTAATAAATTTATTGGTGGACCAGTAGGCATATCGCAGAGAGTTGTGAATGTTGCACTGAAGTCTTAACACTGTAGGCTACTTATGGGGTTTTAGGAAAATTGGAGCAGAAATGGTTTTGTACCATATCATTATAACAATATTCCAAGTAAATCTATACTATTATACAAAAACTAGTGGTGTCTGTCTGTATGTTTGTTACTAATAGGCGCATAAACTACTGAACTGACTGGGCTTAAATTATACAAAAATATATCTACCATACCAAGGACCTTTATAGGACTATTCACACTCCGATACTGACTGTGGGCTTTGCCCCTTTGGCTTTAAAAGTTCTGAGGTGAGGATTTTAAAAGTAAATATTGATTGGTCTCCATGGCTGCCATGAGAACACATACACTGTTTGCAATTTGCTATGCCACCCAAATGTAAACAAGCTGAACTGTCAAACTACATTAATTCACAATGCCACTGCTGGTTTATAAATAGGCATGTAATATTCTCTACAATCATGTGACATGTTTATTTATTCTTATATTTGATGGTTCATTGATTATTGATTTTATGAAACAAGTGAGATTGTATATCTGTTGCTGTATCTAACCCTAATTAATTATTTAAAATTTCGCTAATGTGAATAATTATATTGAAAGATTTTGGTTTAAAAAATAGTGAAATTATAAAGTTCACATTAACTTGAATTGTTTTAACATTTTTGAACAATTATAATGTGTTTAGAGTAGGGCACACACCTTAAAAATTGAAACTTTTTTCTCAAGGAGATAATTCATCTTACTAATATTATAAATGTGAAAGTTTGTGTGTTTGTTTGTTTGTTTGTTTGTTTGAAGTTCAATCACGCATAAACTACTGGACTGATTGGGCTGAAATTTGGCATGATGATAGCTCACATTCCCGATTAACATATAGGCATATTATTATCTCAAAAATCCTTTCGGGCTCCGCCCCAGTGGCTCTGTAGTTCCCCATGTTAACCTTATGAGTATTCATATTTAAAGGGAATTAAAGAATTTAGTCAGCTGTTTCAACTAAAAAAGTTGGTTCTATGAATACAAAAGCATTAACAAGTTATAAGATTTACCAACAGGGTGCAGCACTATATTTTTTTTTGCATTTATGTAAACAGCTAATTTGAACTAAGCAGCAACAAAAAAACTGTGATACACAATGAGAACTGTCAAAAGTAGGATTGTTTACAGTTATGTTTAAGTTTTTAATGATATGAATAATTTGTGAATTTGTAATAATTTATTTTTCTTTATTAATTGTTAAGGTGAAGTATTAGAACATTAGGTATAAGATGTACCATAGTATACCGTCAATTTAAGGAAGCAAATTTTATCAAACTTTGTCCTCCCCCATTGCAAACGCAAAGCTTGAGTATAACTGCAATAAGCATTTTAAACTCAAATGCTAACCCCGTACGAAGGACGGGTACTCTGCTAGTTATACATATTTGCCATTTTGAGAGAAATATTATTCACACCATTTGCCTTTTCACAAATTTATAAATCATAATTTCATATTACTACCCATAGATTAGTAATGATGTTTTCTAATCCAGAGGTAGCTACTACCTATCTATAATATAACTTTTGACACTTCCTGTAGATTTCACATTCTATTCTAATAACGAATAACTTTTTACGAACGTTTCATGGTCATTACATGTATATTTTCAACCAAGTTCCTCTTAACTTAACCTACACCCGACATAAACATTGTTTGAATGGCGTTAAATTTCCTAATTCTAAGCTGATATACAAATATTTCAGTTTAAAAAAACAACAATAAAAAACTAAGTTGTATATGCACTTGCCTTTGGTGCATGAATAGTAGGAGCTATAAATAGTAGGGCA